TATATATATATATATAATTCTTAAAAAAGCCCCTTAACAGTACTTTGTGGTTCATGATTCTCAAGCAATGATTTCACAACAAATTCACAAGAAAAGATCTCTTAAAGTCATATTTGAATCAAACATTTGAATGAAATCCAACTTATGTTGTAGTTTTTTTTATCATAACTTGCAAAACCATAGTTCTCTTTGATGTTTTATTATATTTCTACATATATAATAAACTCAGAATGAAATAGAAAAAGACGTACATGTTGTATTGCAGATGAAATTTGATCCTTAAAATAACATATCACATAAAAAGTTGAAAACAAACAATTGTGTTGGCGATAAATATGGTATATGAACCAACCCTTTTGAAGGACTGGAGAAGAATATGTTTGGTTACACGTAAGGAACTGATTATTTATAAAGAAATCTAGACTTTGATGTGTTGGAAATAATTAAGGGAATAACAAACTGATTATTTTCTTTGATCCCACATTTGAGAGAGAGAGAGAGAGAGAGAGAGAGAGAGGGGGGGGGGGGTTAAATAGGTTTAGAAGGCTTCCTTTGCCTTTTAGTCTTTAAAGGCTTTAGTGAAGGTAAATGGATGAGCCAAGCCCAAACGCGTGCGTAGCAGGTCGTGGACACGAGTTTGTAAAATAACACGATTTATGCGCACTTCGCGCTGCGGTGTTGACCAAATGTTGACTTCATGGATAAACTCCAGGAATATTAGAGAACTCTCCAAAAATAGGATAAACACTAGGTTTGAGTTTGGATAGCCTCTAGGGTTTTTTGAATTCAAACTGTGATAGGATCATTGTTTAATTTTCCCTGGGGGGGGGGGGGGGGAGGGGGCACTAGGGTTTTTAAGTTTAGTATAAATAAGGGCTCTCAGGTCCCATTTATTATGTACTTGGTCATTCAATCCCTTTGCTCCCCTTAGCGAATTTTAAACATCAAATACTAGTTCTTTTAGGTTCTAAGTAATCAACTTTGTGTTTATCGGTTCTTCCATAGTTGTTGAAATAGGTAACCTGCATTAAATCCTAAGGTTGTACACCGAAGGTTACAACATTTGAGCGACGTAAATACTTTAAGGACATGAGTCATTTCGTACAGCTGCCAACAGTCAAGATCAAATATCATATTGGTTTTAATATTATGTTACACATTTTATTTCATCCCGTAATGGGACATATTGCTTTTACCCTTCCTTACAACCAAATCTGATCATATAAGATCAATCTGATATCTGGACGAAACTCGGTAACAACAATAATAATAACTGGATTTATTATTTACGACAAAGTGACATATATTTCTCAATATTATTTGTTGGTTTGTTTGTGATGTATATTATAACGATTCGATATTAGTTCTTAATACTAATCGTTGGATTGTTCATTATCTTCGTTGAAGTATAACATGAAGTTGCAATAGAAAGCCATACTTAATTCCATTCTTAAATTGAATCCAAAGCAAACTACACTTACAATTGTAATATTCTCTCATTTTATTTTGAGAATAATTATAAAAAAACATTTATAACAAGATACTTATAAGGGAGTCGAGGAAATAGCTAGGAGGACATAGCAACAACTAATAATCTATAATTTATTGATAAAATATCAATTAAATTGGTTATGCTTATAAAGTATACAAAGTTGAAATGAAGTAGGCGACAAGAAAAGTATATGTTGAAAAGATATAGAGGAATGCATTTCATAAAAACAGAAAAAATGAAAATAAGATTTTATAACAATAGTTTAAGCCTTTTATTTATGGAACTTTTGCTCAAGTTAAATAACAAGTAACACATGCATAGTAATACGGTATTTGCTTATTGAAAATACTATATTAACACCCGTAGAAACCACAGCTAAAAAAAACATTATATATAGTTCGGAATATCCGATCTATGTTTTGTATGTGTAAACATTTGATAAAATTATGATATTATATGATGCAATATAAATTTGAATATAATAAAAAAAACAAAATAAATAATAGAAATGACATTGTTATACAATAAATTATAAATAACGGTAATGTAATAAATATATTACGTACTTATCATTTTATAATTTGATTTATTCTTAAAACATAATCGATGTAGATTTTAAGGGTGAATTGTAAAAAAAGAGATTTTATGTTGCTGGAATTAATAAAAATCTGGAGGGCATAAAGATTGGAGTAATAACGTAATTTAACTTTCTTATGTATAGATATGTTTTGTGATTGAATTTTTAAAAACATGTTTTTTTTTTCCTTTTATATCGCTGGCACAAAGATTTAATTTTCACGTGGCTTTATAAAATTTCATGAATTAATATGTTTCTAAAATTAAGTTAGCCGCTAAAAAAAGTGTAAGTGAGTTTTTTCATTACTAGAAATAATTGTTTCCAAAACTAAGATACAGAAATTTAGGTGAATTATCGGATTTAAATTAATAAGGATGAACTACAGCCCCGCGGCCGCAGCTATCAGGTGGTGTCCTCCCTCTTTGAGGTTGAGGGTTCAAGTCTCATCATGAACATATGTGAAATTAAGTGTTAGTTTAGGAGTAGATTGTATATTTATATCTGCCGGTCAAAAAAAATAAATAACTAAAAAGGATGAAGGATAAAATAGTAATTCAATTTTGATAGAAAAATAAATGTAGGAGATGTCATGTGAAAAAAAATTGTAGATAAGGTGCAAATTTGTTAATACTGTAAGTAGCTTATCCATATGAGCATTATGTTTTTTTCATAAACATTTTAATAAATTGATCTGTTGTGTTGTAAAATTTAATCTCAATTTTAATGAATCATTTTCAAAGCTTATTGTATTTGTTTCCGATAACCTATTAATTCAACATTTTGACTATGTACATATGGAATATAACCAAGTATATTAATTTTATATAAATAAATTGAAATTGTGTATGCTAATTAAATTATTATTAATACTAAGCACGGTACGTCGATAACCACCGTTATGATCGCTTCAACTTTTCATCACAACCGTTCTAAATCGCTATTTACAGTTATTATGCGGTTCGTTTATACCCAGCTTTGCAGAACACGGTCGTCTCCTTCCAACGTTCTTCAACCTCCATAAAGATTGATGCAAGAAACTACAGAAGCCACGACTTAATTGCGTGTTGTGGCTTCTTTGATAGGAGTGTGCTCCCATCTAAACCGGTAATTGCACATGATTTCCATTCCCACCTATATAAATCGTATGATCAATCATGGAGCACAGTCGACTGAATACGTTTTTTCCTTTGAAGAAAATCCACCCAAGGTAAATTTCTTGAACATATGTATGTTTTAATTCCTGTGTGCAAATTTCAAGGTTTTTTTTACATCTGAATTATAATTCTCGGAACTCTGTAAATTGATTGTATCGTTATATAAATCAGCCATATAATCTGTAATTCCCATGGAATTGGAATAAAGTTTGGTTGTGATTGTAGTACATCAATACAGGTTAGCCTTGTATCACTATAGGAGAGTCCTGAGAAAGAATACACAAGAAAGAGGTATTACTATTTTCATTTGAACGTAGTTTGATGAAGTTATGTAATGGGTCAAACCAAATTAGGTATTTAACATCCTATATTTGACTTCATTTTATTAGTTATATACAAAATTCTTGATGCTTTTGGGTATTTTTGCGATTCGTATCTGTTAGATGTCTTACCATCATTTTTATGTTAATCAAACACTCAAAGCCATCAGGATGGTGGACAAAGGACACTATCGTCATCATGTTCATTAACAACTTCAAGACTTACAAGAAAAGTAATCACCAAAACAAATCAATCACCTGTGAGAGCACGTGGTCTATGCTCAAAGGTAAAAAGAGACATTCCTGTTTGTGAAACAGCTCTAACAAATCCCATGTTAGCAGTTAATGTTGGAGAATGCCAATAATCTCCTGTCCCAAAAACAATCTTATTCTTCAATGCCAGTTTTCTAGTGGTTGGAAGACTCATCATTCGTGTTGAAGGACTATCTTTAACAACCACCACATGTTTTAACAACTCACCTGCCCTTAACTTCTCATTAACCCCTCCACACATCAAAACCAAATCCTTAAACTCCTCAAAAACACTCTCGCATACAATACCTTTTCTCCCAAACATAACCTTACATATATTCACATGTATCGGATCCTTAATCTCAGACATAACCTGGGAGATCACAAACTCGGTGTTCCCTTTAAACCGGGATCTTAACTCGTCTTCAGGTGTATCCAAAAGCTTTTGTGTTCCACCATTGCTGATACCCGATACAATAGCAATCAAAGCTGTTGTATCAAAGTTTATGTAGTTTTCATTATCTGGTGAACTCATTTGTGAAACAAGATCGCCAAAAGAGCCTTGAAATTTGACATCACTAGGTTTTACCAAAGGGTTAGTTACAAAAGGCTCTTTTATGACAGGTGGAGAATCGAGCTTTATTTCAAGAACAGATGCATGCTGATATGATCTTGAAAGAACATCTATCCATCCATCTTCTAGTTCTTTGGAGAAATTAATGTCAAATTTTGAAAATGATGATTCGAGGTTAACCGGTTGAAATTCGTTAAGAAAATTCTCGAGTGTGAATCTGTCAAGTCCGTTTGAGAAGAAAAAGATTATGGAAGTAGGTTTTAATGCTACAGAGGCGTGAGCTGCTTCAAGAAGAAGATGGATTTTAGCCTGTAAACCCTTGTTTTTTAAAGATTCGTGATGGGTGTTCCATGATATATACTTTGGGTTTCTATCGGATACAATAAACCAAACTGGGTTCCCATTGAAAGTGCAAACTATATCAACATGCGCACCTTTATGAAGCTCGTTGTGTCTTGTGGGTTGGAATTTGATTGTTTTGCAGACACGTGTCACGCCAGATATATCTGGATGTTGAAGGACGTGAACTACTGCTTCAAAATGGCCGATGTTGACAGAAATCGATGGGTCGGAATTTGGAGTGAAGTCATTTGATGAAACGCGAGAGAGGAAAGAGAGCTCTGATTGGGTCAATCTGAGGAGAGTATGCTTGCAGGATGGATTCAAGGATAAGGTTTCTAGTGTACTCATCACAGCCTCGCATCTCTTTTTTGCTTCTTCGACCATTGCGCCTAGAACCCTAAAAGCCCCATGAAAATGTTGTAATCAGATTTAGGATCTTACATTAATCTCCGCCAAAAAAAGGACTTGACTTGTTGATTTTATTTCCAACACGAATGAAAGCTAATTAACTAGGTCATCAAATTCTGATTGATTTCGAATTTTAGGGTTCCACAAAATGAGCTGCTATAAGTAAATTGAATCTCTAATATTTGCGACACGAATGAAAACAAACTTCTGATAAGTAGATCATCAATTTGGTGTTAAGATCAGATGTTTGAACTCACCGGAGGTCAATCAAGAAGATTCGGTCCCTTCACTAATTTTCCCTGAAACAAAATAACACAGAAACTCTAATCCGGATTTCATCAATGTACACATGGATGGAGGACAGGGTTCATATATTTTTTAATTCGATTTTTTCTATAATTAAAAATTAAAATCTCTCAAAAAATATTTACCAAACACACCTTTGAATATCAATAATAAATTTTATAGATTTGATTTGGTTAATAAAATTCTGTTTTTCAATTTTATGGTAAAAATACCAAAATTGAAAAAAAATAGTGTAACAAAATTGATTTTTATAAATAGATATGAATTTACTTAAATATATTTTAATACCACCATAATTCTTTTTATTAGCTTATTTTAGTTTTCAAACTTGGTACTAATTTGTTTACTTAAACAACCTGTAATAACTCTAACTCTGTAATATTAGAACTTTGGTGGTGGAAATATAATAACTAGACCATGTTGGACTATTATAAAAAAGAGTCTCTGAAAATGCCATAAAAATCTTTAAGTTTGTTAGTTTTTATCGGTTTTTATCTAAAGTTGTATTTTAGGTTTATTAATGTCTCAGATTTGTAAATTTTTTTTTTCAATTTTACTATTTTTGTAAATTTATCCCATAAAACTGAAAAATTATGTCAAACTTAAGAGCTTTAATGAAACAAAAATCAAACTTAAGGGCTTTTATGAACCAAACCAGAAAAAAAAATAAAACCCAACAATTCTGTCAAACGTAGGAGCTTTAATAAACCAGAAGGTAAAATTCAAAAAAAGAAAAAAAAATTACAAACATCCACTTTTAATAAACTTAAAATCCACAAAAAGATAAAACCCATAAAAACTTGACAAAACTGCACAAATGGTCCATGTGGTTAGCTGAAAATTGTCACTTTGGTTCAAAAAGGTTTGGACTAGCACCAGAGGTCCAAACTTTTCATTTTGTTGCGAGTTTGATCTAGTTTTCTATAAACTTTTTCATAATGACTATTTTGCCCTTATTTTTTTCTTTTTCAGTTTTTTTATTATATTAAATACTTTTTTTTATTAAAAGAAATAATAAAAAAGAAAATTTGCATTTCCTATTTTATTTTTATATTTTTTATAACAAAATAAAAAAAATAAAAATGAAATCTCTCTCTCTCTCTCTCTCTCTCTCTCTCTCTCTCTCTTATTTTCCAACACCACACAACCCTCCAACCTGCTGCCTTACCTCTTCCCTCTTCCCCTCCGACGACCACTGCCGACATAAGCAAAAAAAAAAAGCAGTCGCTAGGCTGCTGGGCAGCCTCCTGCCACCATAGAGTTGCTCTTAGTCACCACCATCGACCACCTCTGTTATGCTGCTGCTGCTACTACGTAAGTCCCCATTGACATTTTTTTGTGTGAATCGCAAAGGGCCAAACCGAGGAATCAAATGACCCGTCATTTTTTTTCTTTCATCATCTTCACTGGAGAGGATGTTCAGTGGCGATGATAGCAATGAAGGGCATGTTGCAGGTACGCTATCATTGTTGCTCCAATTGAGGGTTTTCGAGCCCTAATCACACCTAAATCAAAGTTTTCGGGGCAAGCTTCAATATCTGGTAAAATCACACCGCAAAGAGAGGGTAATTCAAACCCTAGAATGTAGAATGCTTTAATGGAGAAAGATGGAGGGCGCATTGCTTCTATCTGTTTGTTGAACATAGTCCTAAACCCTGAAGATTCTTGAAGTAGGAGTGGAATTGGAGAAAATCGAAAGAACAGAAGTTGGAGATGGTGGCTGTGACTGGTGATGACGGAGTGGGTGACGAAGGCAGGAGCTGCAGCGACAGCTTGTTGTATGGTTTTTTCTTGTGTCCGACCATTTACCACGATGAGGGAGGCAGCAGATCAATACAAGCTTCATTTGATAGAAGAAGAGGGAGAACAGGGGTGGTGACAGAGTTGTGGTGGTTGCACGGTGGCCACACAGTCGGTGGTTTTTAGTGGAGGGTGATGGCAGGTGAATGCTGGAACGAAGGCAACAGGTGCAAGGCAGCAACGACATTGGGTTGTTTGATGGCAATGGGTCACGAGAGAGAGAGAGAAAGAGAAAGAGAGAGATTCTTTTTTATTTTTCTTCTAATCATAAAAAACATTTAAATAAATAAAAAAATAGAAAAAGAAAGTACCAAGGGTAAATCCGTCATTTTAAATATTTCTAAATCAAATTGGACCAAAATCGCAACAAAATGAAAACTTTGAACCTATGGTGATAGTCAAAACCATTTTAGACAAAAATGACAATTTTGAGCGAACCATATGGACCATTTGTGCAGTTTAGTCTAAAAACTTACAAACTTTTTAAAGTGGAGGAGGTGCACAAAGAAAAGTCGAATACGACAGCGTATGGCTAAACTATTGAATTTGCAGAGCACACACAGGTATATATAGACACGTATATATAGACGCTCTCCCCAAATTAAATCATTCACACCGGTAAAGCCCTAGAAATTTCAAGAAGGCGAAAATGGCGAGACCTGCAAGGCAATTGGCAACGACCACCACTACCATAACCTTAGAGAACCCATCTCCGCCGCAGACAACAACCCTAACATTGACGCTCAATCCAAGGAAGAAGAAGGTGACATGGAAAGAAGGCACCGTCGATAACGAGTTTCTCCAAAAGAAGAGCTCAAAAAAATGCTGCATCTTCCATAAACAAAAACCTTTCGATGAAGATTCCAGCGAAGACGAGGATTGTCACGATGATCATCATGACCATGATTGCGGCGGATCGAAGAAGGATGACGACGGAGCATCGACGAGCTAGGTTATTTCTATCCGCTTTTGATACTATACGGTTTGTAAAATCTATGGGTTTTTGCGAGGGCTAAAACTTCTCGAGAAAATTTTGTGTATATAGAAACCTAATCATGATTCCAATATATTGAATCGGATGCTCTAGATCTGATTACGTATTGGAGTTCGATTTGTGTGATGTTCCAGCATATTGATTGGATTTTGTATTCTATGTTGCTGTTGAATGAATTTTGATTTCTAGATGCTCGATTCTACTGTTTTTTACGAATTGGTATTCTAGAAGCCTTCATTAACATTTATATCATATGAACAAATTATCTCTGTTTTGGGTTTTCTTCTATGTAAGCGGATATGGGTGCGAGGGTTTCAATTGTCTCTATAATTTGTTATATATGGAAGAATGTGGTATATGATGTTCGTATTGATGATAACTTGATTACTTGGTATTGATTTTCTTTTAGATTTATGATATTGCTTGATCTTAATCTGCAAATCACTGAATTTAAAGATCTAGAGAAGACTGTAAATACTACTATAGTAGTAAGACAAACTATGGATTATAAGCAGGAAAAAAATGAAAATAATTTTAAGGAAATAACAACATACTTTTTCACTATAATGTTAACTGTAATAGCAATGTATTTGTAATTTTCTATGGATTATAGCATTTTTTTCTTTCAATTTTTTGCTTATGTGGCATACTGGCATCATTTCAATGTTATGTGACATCCAATAATGCTTACGTGGCAGATGAAGGGGAATAACCCATGTCAAGATCTCACGTTTCATATTGCCCAAGCTAGATAATTAAAAAACATTTTAATTTATCATAGGTGAAAGTTAAAATATAGTGTGCATATTGATGGAACAGGCAAACTACGTTGCTATTTTTTCTTTTTGGAATTTGTCTTTTATATATTTAAAACCAGCTTTTAGCTTTTAGGTCAGCTAGTTGGGGATTATTATGATGTTGACCAATAAGATTAAAATCAGTATAGATAGTCATTTTGAATAAAAAAAGAATGTATAAAATAAGGAAAAAAAAAGTGTCCCAATGCAGTTTTTACATAGGAAAGCAATGAGATGGGGTGGAACGAATATTGGTGATCACAGTCACATAACTGACTATAAATTGTAATCTTAAACCTGTTTTCATTCCACTGTGTATTCGGTTAGTAAATAGATACCGAGTTTGCAGGTATATTTGGGGGTATTAGGTATCCCATTTTTATTTTGAATGATTATGTAATCATACCAAGCCTATGACAATAAATATAAATTATTTTTTTATTTATATGTAACAAGAATTTTGATCTCTTAATTTGGAGAGAAAGGGACGAAACGGCAATAGTTTTATAATATTGCCATTGTTGTGTAAATATATGATAATTACAAGCATATCAATAAAAGTAAAGTAGAGGGGGGAACATTATTGTAATCAAATTTTATAAAAAATTTCACACCTTTGCTTTTCAAATAGGGAAAATGACATAAAAGCCCTTAAGTTTTCACAAAAATGTCGGTTTTACCCTTGGACGTGTTTTATGTCCAGTAAAGCCCGAAGTTTTGTTTAATTTGTTCATTTTTACCCTTATAGCCGGTTTCCAGGTAACCTACCGGTTACCTAGGTTACCTAATGCCAGTAAAGCCCTTGAATTTTAAAAAATGTTCGGATTTACCCTTACATTGATTGTTATTATTATTATTATTATTATTATTATTATTATTATTATTACATTTTTAATTGTATAAAAATACTTTAT